AATGCCTCGAAATGTTTCCTGGCTATTTAAATTAGAACCTTAAAAAATCCCAGACATCTGGCCGGGCCACGTTAGCGTGGTAACGTAATGTGTGTAATAAAAATTCCATAGCTCTTCGGGAAAATAAAAGGGCTTGTAATGTTCCGCGGGGACATGCGACGCATTTTTTTACACGACACCGAAGAGAATCGCCGCTAGCCTGACGTTAAAGTTCGCGAATAATGCCTTTAGTCTCGTAGTACGCGACACGTATAATTAAAACTAACCAGTCTAAATGTTAGTGGTTATCAAAATGTTCCGCAGCGTTAGCCCCTTATAAGTACCGCAAATCAATCGAAAATACAAACTTTTTTCAAAAAATTCCCTGACGTTAGTAGTAATGTAATGCTGGTTCTAAGCTTCCATTGCTTGTAAGATATAGTCCGCCCCCTAGATATTCTGCTGACAATAGGTCGAAGGGGTAATCCTGGTTTGTAAATCTTAAGAAATCCGTAGAAGACAGATTTAAAGCTGCGTTCCATGTTTTCCTGATATTCACTTGTATTCATTTTCTTTATCTGCTTTTAGAATCACGAAGTCGGGATTACATTTTGGAGATTTTAGAGCAATGCAAATACAATGTCAAAACCAATTCATAGGAATTCTCGGATTTCACAGAAATTTTGTGAAATTTTTTGTATTCCGCCACAATTAAAGACCATAAAAAACGGGGGAAAATTATGCTCAGTGTCAATGTTAAATTGATGAATATTGAACATCTAAAAAGTTTTAAAATGACCACAAAAATTATAATTTATATCTTTGTTTTTGGAAAAATGAGTCTGTCATGTGTTTCCCTTCTTAGCTTAGCTTCATTGTGTGTGTTTCTTTATGTACGCCACACAAAAAATCATTGTGGCACGTCCGGGGTGTCTCGAAAAGTCGGTGCGTTATAGTAACTATAACTAACCTAAATTTAAATTTAAGCGTTATACTAAAGTCGATGGGATCCATTCTATTTCTACTTCTATCAATATTCATATTTATAAAGGATTCATAATTTTACAAAACATGCCCATACAAATTTGCATGTTCGCATGTAGTGGTTTTCGGTTATGAAAAAGTAAATAATTTCTAGATGGTGCCACTTGCACATACTTTTCTGATAAAAAATTTTACTATTGTTCAATACCTGTATTTGTATTATAGTAACATTTTTAATTCGCTGTGTAACCCTATGTAGACCAAGTAATACCCGACTATAACTTTATTATTAAAAATAATACTTACAAATAAACTCACTAATAGTTTGGAGTGAATACGGAAAAAGAAACAAAACTTTTAGGATAAAAAAAACACCTATTGTGTTTTCCATTACTATTCCCAATGAAGAACCAAAATATGCAAATCTATCATTAAACAAATCAATTCTGTTTTTAATTAACAAAAAACAAAAACTTAAAGTATTTGTCCTACGTGACCACTACGCTAATTTGTTCGTTTGTTATCGGCGAAAGCGTTTAATTAACATGGCAGCCGTGCTTTCGTATCTACATGTTAATCTGGTCCGGGCAAATGGTTTCGAAAAATTATTATTTGTATATAATAACAACGGTTTGTTGTTTAAGATAAGAACTATTGTTGGACGTGGCGTGTAGAAAGCTCGATAAGATCGTCGGCTTTACGTAGTTAGTGACGACGCACATAATTGATTTCTGGAACATTGCTATTGCACAAGTATTACCCAGATAGAAGAAAGAAAAACATATCGTGAATTTTTTAATGGAATGTCGATAATAAAGGAGGCGATTTTTGGGCACATTTGAACATATGTCCTAAATGAGCCACAGTAGCAATCACTTCTAAGGAAATTAAATTTCTTGATTTTTTTGTACGGTTTTGCGAAAGTGCGAATAAGATCTAGGTAAACTCTGAGGCCTTTTGTTGACATCTTGATAATTATTTCTTATCATTGTAGTAGGCTGCATATGTAAGAATTATTAATTCTGTGGTCAAAGCGGTTGTTTGACATCAGTTTTTTAAAATTTAGTTCTTCGCACCCTATTAGTTTGGTGTTTAAAATATCCAAGAAGCGTTATTTTGAAAAACAATGGTCGAGTTTACTAATGAGGAGTTGGCAGATATGCCATTTTAAATATCAAGAACAGTTTTCCGTAAATGTTTGGGCTGAAATCGTTGAAAATTAATTTCTCTTGCGAAAAAGGCTAAATTGCCACAATAATCGGCGGTTTTTAGAGGAGGACTTGGCAATATATCCAGAAGTACCATAATTAATTAGGAATAGAATGTGGTTCATGCATGACGGCGCGCCTGCTCAGTGATTAGTAGGTTCCAGCGGACTTCAATCATTGTGGTCGTCCCGTTCTCCAGAGAAAAATTAAATTCAGCTACAATGATCAATGATTTTTCAATAAAAATTCGTGGATTGACGAATTGATAAGCACCACAACATTAACGCCCAATAGAAAAACGTTCACTACTGGTAGGTAGACAACCTGGAAAAATATTTTTATGTTAAACCTTCTGAACCACTATCCTTCAGCGTCTGGTGTTGTTTAAGAAATAAAAAATATTTTACAAAACATTGGTTATAATGCTCCCGTGAGGGAATATTTAAGCAATACATATCCAATAAGGATGAGGCGATAAGATATTTTAGATATTTTGGACAGCCATTAGCACAGATGTTACTTTTCCAGATACTTTTTTGTGGGGTATTTATTATTTGCTCATCAATAACAAAGTCGTCGAAAGGGATGAGAATTTCACTTACTTAGGAAGCACCCTGTCTGAAGCATGGGTTCATTCTGTGGAGATCAAGCACAGCAAAAGCTGCAAGCAATTTCACTACAACGAAAAACCTACTCACCAACAGAGACCTCAGCTTGGAGCTAAGAAAACTGTATGGAGTGGAGAGTTGGAGAACCGAATTATCCCTTTGAGATATGGAGTTACAGAAGAATCCTGAAGATATCTTGAACTGATCACACAACAAATAATGAAGTCCTGAACGAAATGAGATGCTGTAGCGTTGCTACTTTGGACAGATCGATTGGGTTCCGTGGTGGTATTGTGATCATTTAGCGGAAGGGATTCTTTGACTTGGGCCTGGGGTGAAAAGACGGCGCACAGTGGTTTATGTTATACGGGGACGCTCAGTTAGAATGCTTGCCACAACCCTTACTCACAATTAAGAAATGTAACCTGGAATACTTTGGGCACGTCATGAGAAATCAAAATAAATATCGACTATTACAAAACATCATAAAGGGCAAAGTAGAAAGAATAAGAGCCGCAATTGGTATGTGCTGCCAATAAAGTTCGAATAACGATGATGATCGCCAACATCCGAAACAGATAAGGCATGAGAAGAAGAAGAAGTATATAAAAAACAACATTTGTTTTTGGCCGCAATTTATTCGGTATTTTTTGGAGTCATTTCTCGGGAATACTAGTCTGCAAATTTTATATCGAGTACGTTTTACATTTTCCTGTTTTTATTGGATCCATTAGTTAAATTATTTGACACCATTTCAATAACACCCTGTATTTGCCCCAGGTGACAACGAAGTTAGGAAACCAGTACTGCATTTGCCGCCATTTTGGTTTTAATATCTGCCGTAACCGACAAACGCAGTGACTCGCATTAAATTACTCTATTGATTGTTAATATTCCATTTCGCGTTTCTAAATGTCACGCGATACGAAATTATAACAAACGGACGTAATAATTAACAAACGGGCAGCGTTTAAAATTTTGTTTAAAATGTCGTTTCAATTTGAAACAAAAACAAAACGCGATTGCATAAATCGCGAAACAATGCGTAATTGAGAATAAATAGCGATACGGAATTAACCGTCGACCACGTCCCAAACAAATTTTCCCCGTTTAATAAATATTTATTCGGACGATAATTTATTAAGACGGACATTTTCGTATGGCGCCATTTAAAATTCCCGCCTTTGGCGAAATGTCCGCGGCCGACACGAATGGATTAGTTTGCTTAATGGAAATTGCCAATTATAACTTTGGAAGATTGCGTAAAGATAGATTCTGGGACTAAACAGATTAAGTAAAATTTATTCGATCAATAACGCTGAGTGTCTCTCTTAGACTGCAAGTTATCAACTACTCAATTAAAACAATCGCCGAACGATGCCCAACAGTTAATTATTGAAGTGCTCACAAACCGTAGACCAATAACAATTATTGTGCAAATAATATTTGTAACGTATTTATTCCTTAAATACAAATCAATAATTGATAAGAATACTGATAGAAAAATTAACAGAAACATTGTTTATATATGCTAATTAACAAGAAACGTTTTTTTTTTGTGTTAAGTTTAAGTGGGGTTTAATTGCATTAACTTAGGGACGTCATCAATATACTAAAGGAAAAAGAAACACCAGCCAACATAGTAAAGGTAATCTGCAACCTCAACACCGACAACTCCACTCAAATTAAATCAGGACAACATATCACGAAAATCATCCTAACACCAGGAGGAATTAGACAGGGAGACAGCCTCAGCCCACTCTTATTTAATCTTCTCATGGAAAAAGTCATAGAAGAAGTAGCAACCTTAAATATGGCATACAGAATGAGCAACAAACGTATCAACATGGTATGCTACGTTGACGATGCAGCAATTTTCGCAGAAAACGAGAACGACCTACAAAGATAGCTATTCAAGTTCTATCAAGAGTGCCGACAGCTTAATAGGACCATATCGGTCGAGAAAACAAAAAGCATGACAATCACCAGGGAACCAATCAGATGCAAGCTCTTAATTGAAGATAAGCCCATAGAAAAGGTAATGCAATTTAAGTACCTTGGGATGAATATGTCTAGCGGCTAGGACCCAACAAAAGATCTAAGGGACCATATCAACAAAGCATCAGCAACTTCAGGCTGCTTAAGAGAGATTGTCTGGGCCAACGGATACATGTGGAAGGACAGTAAGATTAAAATATACAAAACATGCGTTAGACCAATAATGACGTACGCGATAGAAACAAGAGAAGACACGAACAAAACAAAGAGAATGCTGCGCGTAGGCGAGATGAGGGTGTTGAGATCAATAGCTGGCAAAACCAGAAGAGACCACGTAAGAAACACCGACATAAGAGAACAATGCGACGTACAGGATATTGGAAGGCAGAGAAGAAGGCAATGGTATAACCACGTCAAGAGGATGGGCGAAGATAGATTACCCCGCATAGCTCTCGAGGGAATACCAGTAGGAAGTCCGCTCGGTAGACCGCCGAAGAGGTGGAGAGACAGCTGGCAGTCCACATCTCAAGAATTAATGCAACGGCAAGCCCGGAATTAACAGATCATTTGATCTCAACCAAGTAGCAGAAGAAGAAGAAGAATTTAGAACCATTCAAATTTTCACGCCCTTTTTGGCTGAACACCGGTTCTACTATACTACTTATAGAACCAAACGTTTTTAATAATAATAATAATAATAACAATAATATTGCTTATTTCCATTAACTTTTAACAAAAGTATAGGATAATGTCATCAAGTAAAAAAAAAAATACATTAGAACATTAAAATACAAACTTTTAAAACAGATACGTACAAACACACAAAGTATATCACACTGAGAGATCGGCATTACTACAATCAAAGTATTCTTCCATACAATAAAAAAACGTTATTCAAAATGAGATTTAATTTTTGCTTAAATAAATAGACAGGCAATATCTGTCTGACGGACAAAGGCAACTTATTATAAAGCATTATTGGTAAAATACTTGGGGTAACTTATGACTTGGCACCTGCAAATTAAGATTAGCTCTAAAATTGTAATCTCCATCAATTCTGGTCATGCAATAATTAGATTACTCTTCATGTATATTATGCAATTTATTATAAAGAGAGAGGGAAACGTTAAAATATTTAAATGTGGGAACAGGGTTCTACAAGAGTGACCACCAGACTTCCCCAACATTGTTCGAAAAATACGTTTTTCTTATACAAAAAGTTCACTAGCTCTGGAAGAATTTCCCTAGCAATGATAGCGCAAGACAAGCAAGATTGAACATATCCGAAATAATACAATAGTAAAAGCTGAAAATCCACACTCGACCGCAGTCACCAAATAACAAAAGTATGCATAGCCATTTTGTTTAATACGTAGTCAATTTGGCTTGTCCAGGAGAAATTACTGTCTATGAACACAACCAAATACTTGACAACGTTAGTCTGATTAATTGATTTATCCCGCATTCTAACCAATAAGCTCTTGTTCAAATTCCTAAACCAAAAGATCATCATCTCAGTCTTTGTCCCGTTCAAACAAATACCGTTACGCTCACAATATCGGATCATACCACTTAGTGCCCTAGTGGCCAAGGACCGTGAGATCTTCCAGACTTCTAGATGACACTGCCACAGCAGGAAACATAATTGTCTGGGAAAGAATTAGATATATCATTAACAAATATTATAAATAATAAAGGTCCCAGTATGCTTCACTGTGGGACACCGCTGGTGAGTTCTTTGGATGAGGATCTAATCGCAGAAGAATTACATCTAAGTACAACTCTTTGGTCACGACCCTTCAAAAACGACTCAAACCTAGCGTAACTATTCCCCCGTATACCGAAATTATTTAACTTATTCAACAACAAATTAATATCAAGCACATCAAAAGCTCGCTTGAAGTCAAAGAACATACATAATGCTTTATTATTCTGATCCAGTTTCGAGACTATTTGATTATATAAAGAAACTAAACAGTCTTGAGTAGATAATCCATTGCGAAATCCAAACTGAGAATTCGAGAAAAATTGCTCCTTCTTTAGAAATGTATCGAGCCGCACGTAAAAACACTTTTCGAATATTTTGGAAAAAACCGATAGTGATATTCCATGGTAATTAGAAAGTAAATGGGTATTATTCTTCTTTAATATATAAAAAAGGTTGTGCTATCGTAATGTTTAGCCATAATTTTGGAAAGTATCGTGCACAGGCTACTTTAAAGCTATTTGCTACTTAACGTTTGGCCTATTTTCCTGTTGGCTTCTTCAGAGCTTAGCTGACCGATATTTGCATTTCAGTGTGTCCCACTGAAGTAATGTACACCCCTGTTTAAGGTTCTGTAAGGTTCCATTTGCCGATTAGTTCAAATTAGTAATAAAAAAAAAATTAATGAGTAAAAGACGTGAAACTATTCTCTAGAGATCAATGTCAACAACATGCACTATTTAAACGGTTTAAATATCCAAAGAAAACAAAGATCAAGGTGATCTTAAATATTTTAAGTTCCTCAGATCTTTGAAATTTTTTGTTGTTGCTGTCGGGAATCTAAGTGCTATTTGAATCGTATTTGTTACGGCAATATGACAAGAAAGCATAATAGTTTATCCGATCAAGATTCGACAAATTTTTCCTGTAAAAGGTAAGTATCGAGCTTTATCGAAATATATCCATGCATTCCTTTAAATTTGCAGTATCGTCGGCAAAACTTATTACTTCTCCACGGCACTTTGTTGTCATAAAAGTACAATGCCCTGGGGTGTACCGCATTGCTGATGGAGCTTTCTACATCAACGTACTGAGTTCCGTTAGCGACATTGTAAATACATTCCCATTTCACTTTTATACAAAAGTCTAGAATGAGAGACGGAATAATAAGCCTTGGACAGATCCAATCTACTCTGGAAGATTACAAATTGCGTCGTGAGTTGATATACTGACGATTTGATATTATATTTGCCCAAAAATTTCACTATTCGTATTTGAATTTGTTTTTCAATTATTTTTGAATGTACTGATAATATCGAGATTGGACCATAATTAGAAATATTAGTTTTGTTTCTTCCAACATATTTTCTAGCAAAATATCTAGGTTCCTTATTAAAACCCCTTACAGGGAAAGCTGACAGTTTCGTACTTAATTTTTTTCACTTCATTGAACAATTAAAAAGCATTACATTAGATACACAAGATATTCTAGTTAGTTTCGACGTAGAATACCTCTTTACCAAAGTGCCTATTCCTCAAACTCTCGACATCAGTTCAGATATATTAAAGTCTTAGAATCTGGAACCAAATCTTTTCACCTTAATTGAAAAATGCTATGGGTTCTCCACTATTACCAGTCATAGGGAATATGTTTATGGAAGCCTTTGAGAAGAAAGCTCTCGTCACCTTTAATCAAAAACCAAAATTATATTTATGGAAGCCTTTGAGAAGAAAGCTCTCGACACCTTTCATCTAAAACCAAAATTATGGAAACGCCATGTCGATGATATTTTTGTTGTTTGGCCTCGTGGTCAAGAAACCGTAGTAGATTTTCTTAGACATTTAAACCCTAACGTACGTTTTACCATTCTTAGACATTCTTATCAATAAAAATCAGACCTAACTTTGGGTGTTTACAAAAAACCTATGCACACAGATACCTTATTGCATGGTCACATCATCATCCGCCCCAAAAATCATCGTTTATCAACTCTCTTGTTTACAGAGCCGTGAAACTATCTCAGCCCGAATCACTGAACCCAGAATTAAACCACCTCTTCTCTCTTATAATTTCCACATTAAAGATTTTAAGCGTTCCATCAAAAAATACACTTCACGACAACCTTCCAATAGCAATGAGGCCGAAAACAATCCTGCACTTGCCACTGTGGTCCTTTCTTACATTCAAAACATCACTGTATGTAAGTATAACATCAAAACCAGATTTACCACTTGTCCAAAAATCTCTCAACATTCCATGCATATGCGGCAAAGAATACATTGAACAGATCGGACGAAAAATATCAACTAGACTCAAAGAATAAGAAAGAGCATTACGACTAGGACAAATTAAGTCATCAGCTGTTGCCGAACACACTCATGAAACCGGACATAAAATTTTATTCGCAAAAACTAAAATTTTTTCATGTAATCAGTTCTTCTACCAACGACAAATCCGAGAGTCTAAAGAATTCTATAAACAACCTAACAATCTTAATCGCGACTCAGGTCTCTACCTGTCACCAATGTGGGAATCAGTCATCCGAGACGGTGTGTATTTTGTTACGGAACGCTTTATAACTTTAATGCGGAAATTATTTGATTTGATTCGTTGATTTGCAAGAGAATTGATAACTAATGGCGTGACGGATGAGGTCAAATGACAAAAAATTTGTTCATTAGTTACAGGAGAAAGGTTTTCCAGAAAAGCATTTCTTAATTAAGGGGAGAAGGACTCGTTCCAGATATCTGAAATAATGTTGAGTGTTTCAAGAGTAGGGACTCTAGTAAAAAGAGACTCTACGCCGAAACTAACCACAGTATGAATACAAGTAGTATAGTAGAGTTCTTAGCCAAATTTAGCCGGAAAATTTGAATTGTTCTAATTTTATGGCTGCTTTTAGCCTCACAGGGGGAATTCTGAAAGTTTCTCTGAAAAAATATAAAGTCTATTTATTATGATCAATATTTTCTTGAACGATATCTGGATATCTAAAACATTGAAGAAACGATAAAAACAGAGTTATATTATTAATAAAAGCCGCTAAGCAACAAAAAAATCAAATTTTCTACGATATTGTAAACGAACAATAGAAGGACCACAACTGTAATTGTGGGACTGCTTCCATACTTCTTTTTTGGGAGGGGATATGGTGAAGTGTATTTTGTTATGGAACGCTTTATATCTCTAGTGCCGAAATTAATTGAGAAAGAGCGGATGTTGGGTGTTTTAATTCTGGGTTTGGTGATTCGGGTTAGGCTAATTTTGTGGCTCTGAAAGCAAGAGAATTGGTAACTGTGACAAGTCAGACCAAATTATGACAAAAGTGTGGTTTTAGAGTAGGGATCAGTCATCCGCGATGAGTGTACGTGAAGGCCCTAAGGCCGTTGATTAAAAGCGACTAAAAAAATCAGCTGGATACGCAAACTCGACTGGATTAGAAAAAGCGTTAGTCGAGTGCGATGGCGTTAATTTTGTGCAGCGCTGTCAAAACAGAAAACAATGGGTCATTGTATTCCCTTCGTCACTCGACGCCGCATTTTAATGACCCCCGGTAATTTTTACAGCGGGAGATGTGTACACAAGCCCCTGCGAGGGGAACTAAGTGTCTGCCTGAGAGCTTGGATTTTTTTTAATGGGATATGGTGGCTGAGTGGTTCGTACGTAGCGACGAAAACGGGACAGCACTGTATTAAATTATAATTCTGTGTAGTATGCGTCAATCGAGTTTCGGAGAACAAACACTTACTCACACTTAAGGAGTAAAAATGATTTAGGTAAACGCACAATGGTATAACGAAAAGATAAAATCATACAGACACCTCATTACTAGCACGTAACTTTGGCTTGCGAT